CCTCAGCCTGTTAGATTCAGTATGATATATTTTCCTCTAATAAACTGATCATATCCACTGAAAAGAGCACAATAATAACATGTGAGGTGTCTCTCAAAATGTTAACAAATCAGACATATATATTTCTAAATATAAAAAAAAATTTATGTAACTGATAAGGGATAATTTATATTTCATGTTCCTTGCTAAGAAATACTTTAGCCTCCAAAGATTTACTCCATGGACTAATGAATTCATCAGTATCTAAACGGTATCTCTTATCAACCAGCAATCTTATGTTTGTTTTCAACAAGAGAATGTTTTAGAAACCTATTATGATGATTGAGCTGTTTAACCAATTCCACATGACAAACACTTGGAGCACTTTGAGCAGCAGAACACTGGTCTCCTTTCCTCTGAGATATAGATAAGCGATGGCTTCTGTTTCCAGTGCAAACACATTGACAACCACGAGAACCCATGGTAGCATGATCATTCCTATTCCTGCTTTTTGTGACTTCAGCGACCTTGGGTCTGAACTGCCATCCTCGTTCCCCTTGTCAAAAGCCGTAGCAACTGACAGCGAATCAGAGAAGTTAATCAGAACGGCATCACGGCTGATGACCCCTTTGCTGTGCTTAAGCAGACTGATAAGAATGTTCACCACCCCAGAGACAGGTAATCATTAGCCAGTTTCATTTTTCCAGAGATAATCTACTGCCAAAAAGTTTGTTGGAACAGTCTTCAGCACAAAGCTCCAGTTGATCACAGGAGAGAACATAAACCAAGATAATGCACACACATCAAATTCAGCCAGAATAATTTCTATACTTCATGTGATCTCAGTGCACCAATGATCTCTAGCAGCTGGCTCAACTTCTGAGGCCAAGTGGAACACGCAGACATGAAACAAGTGTCTGTGCAGAAGGGAGAAGTCACATGATTCTGTGACACACTCCCACCTGCAGAAAAGGCACCAACAGAGTTCTCCCCTATGTGTCTGCTTCATGAACCTTGTTTACACACATCACTAGCCTCTCAAGTGCTGCATCAAGCTAAAAATAAACAACAAAAAAAAATAGAAGGTCGTTATTTATAACCAAAATTATTTCAGTCATCGTGTTTACAGTGCAAACCTCTCAAGTCAGAGAGGAAGCCGAAGGATAGTAAAACACAGTGTGGTCACAGGACAAAATGAGTGGGTTGAGGAGAGGGAAGAAGAGAGGGTTTAGTATGGGATTGTAAATTTATATTCCAGTTTTACTGCTGAAGAAAGGTTCATTGAGTAATTTTCTTATGACTTCTTCTTGCAAGAACCTTTCTTTCTCAGGAACACATATGTAAAAGAAACAAACGTCATCAGAAAGCAGAGAAAAAGAAAAATCAGACTCACTACATCTGTAGTTAGTTAAATGCTCAGGTCACCTGTTCAGCTATCTGGACATAAATGAAGCACCATCTATAGCATTGCAATGTCATGGTGAAAATAAAGGTTTTAAGTTTTCTTTTAAACGTGAAACTGGCAGAGAAACAAATCCAGACACTATAATGCAGAACTGAAAACAAGAAAAAAAGAAGTATAGTGCAAAATTTCAAAACGAAAAACGCAATGGATCAGAGACAGAAGGTTAAAGAAATAGTAAACCTGAAAGAAATAGGGAAGGCTTAGAAAACAACGTTATGTCAAAACTACAAAGCTATAGCAGGATCCTGGTAAAGCAGGAGATGCCTAGTTAGATGCCAACATGCTAAAGTGGTAAATTAACTCAGGTCTAGCTTTCTCTGTGAAAGCACTTGAATGATGTTATGCCATGAAGTTACAACAGCAGTAGCAAAACTTCTGTATTCAGAGAAGATATTACAGATGCCTGCATCTATGAAAGATCTGTAGCTTTGTTGCTGATGTAACTTCAGATATGCCTGAGGTTAGCAGAGCTCTGTGAGAACTGAGGAATAGGCAGCTCCAGTGGGCACCTCTGAGTAGCAGCCCAAGTTTTCTCCTAGATGGTATATGGAGTTTTGAATTCTGCTCCAGGTGTCTCAAATCAAAATTTTGTTAATGCCTACTCAGCTCAATCCTTAATTGAGCTTAATTGATCTGGCCCTACTAGACTGAACTCCACCAAGGACGTTTTAAACAAACACTGCAATCTTTTATTTGCATTGAAAAATTCTGTCTGTGCTTTAGAATCATAGAATGACTTGAGTTGGAAGGGACCTTAAAGATTATCCAGTTTTAACCCCTCTGCCATGGGCAAAGAGACCTTCCACTAGACCAGGTTGCACAAAGCCCCATCTGACCTTGGATGAGAGGTTAGTTATGAGAGTATTTTTGAGGAGTTCTCAAAAGTACCAGCCCTGCCTCAGAACCTGATTTCCATTAAATAAATGAAAATGTGCAATTTGACCATAGCTCTAGCCCAGTCTATGTGTCAGAATCTCAGGTTTTCAATTAACAGATTATAATCTATTAATTAGCTAAAAAAAACCCCCAGTAACTCTCAGCAACACAAGAACACAAACAACACTGGACACACAAAATGGTATGCAACAGCCAAAGCAGAGCAGTAAAACTTGATCCACCACTTGTGCAAAACTGGGAAGTTCTCAGTGAAGGCTAGAGAAAAAGATTCCACTCAGGCAGTAAAAATACAGATTCACTGTAAAAAAACTTCCAAGAAGGCAATCACACTATTGTTTGTCACATGGGAGGTCTTCCACAAAATAATAGAAATAGCTAATGCAAGTCTTTGAGAACAGTACTCCAAATTTCTGCACAGGCCAGTGATTCATGTGTACTCTTACAACCATAAATGAAATCTAAATCCTGTAAAGGCAACTGACTTACAAAACTCATTCAACTGCCTGCACAAACTTACAGCCATATCTTCGGACCCAAGAGAAAATGTCACCTGACATTGTCTATAGCTTTCTCATTACCTGGGCACATGGAAAATAACTACAAGATCTGCACTTCACTGCTGCTTATACTCCTGAGCAGCAAAAAGCTACAGATAACTAGTTATAAAATAACAGCAATGGCACATCTTGTAGCCATATTAGAAAAACAATCAAGAAGGACTATCTGGAGATAGGATCTAGCAGGACAACATTCTGCTGGCTGACAGATCTAGGGAAAGAAACTCATCAGAATAAGGCAGGTGTTTAATTCATTAAACTTAACTGGGAACTCAATAAGCTAATTAGAACTTGAGGGTTTTAGCTTCAGCACGGTCATCTTCTGCTAAAAGCTGCAAATCTAGAAAATGATCCAGACAGAAAAACACATGACTCAGAAAATGAGTTCTTATGGAAAAATTATATCAGTGATAAAATAGAAAAAAAATAGCAGTCAGCAGGTCATCAGATACAGACCAAGAGAGGCAGCAGAGCTCAAAGGACTCTGTGCTTCTCTGGGCAATTCACTGGCTGCACAGAAGCCTTGGTCACATTTACACAGGCTACAGTTACAGCCCAAATAAATAGTAGTTTAAGACAATAATGGTCTGTCTATACTACAATAATAGAGCAGATAAACACATGTTCAGTTCTTCTTTATCAAGTTGATAGCAAAAGAACAACTGTACTGCAGCCACATGCCAGACCTGTGCCTCAGTACTGCGAGATTTTAGCATCACATTAAATAATAACCAACTTTCCACGAGGTTTTGTATTTAAGTTCTAAAAGCATCGCATTCTGGTGGACAGACTACTATACCTATGAAAAACTGATCTGAACTACAGTAATGGACTAGAAATTACAAACAAAAGGCAAGACTCAGTGGCTGTTTAGTGCTCCAAGTTTTAAGAGCTGACGGCTGAACCCAATAGAGCATTTCAGTAAGCACTCAGCTTAGAAAACAGGGCTCAGTTTGTGGCAGAGGCTAAAAATGTCACCATTTTCTAGGCCTCTCAGCCTTTAAAAAAACTGTTACCCTGCCCAGAGTTTCTACAGTATAAATAAGAAGCCATATCAGCCCCATACAGATTACTCAAACAGAGAAAGTACAGTTTACCGATCAGAATCCAGGCGTGGAAGTAGCAGCAGGGTTTTTTTCTTACTGGACTTAGAGCTTTCCTTCAGTGAAATCTAATTCCAGATATAACCCAATATTGTCCCAGCTCCCCCCACAAATATACTCTAAAATGTCATGAAGCTTTCAGGACGAGATTGCTGAATTAAATACCCTCAAGCCTGTAGAAGGAGGTAAATGCTATTGCAAATGAATATGCTTTATCAGCTATCAACAGCAGCTTTGCATGTGTGAAATCTCTCCCTATACCTTTTCCACATCCTATTTCAGAGATGTTTCACAATACAGTGCAAGACAACTGACAGAATACTTCACTTTGGAAATACTGCTAAATGCAGAACTGGAATGTCTATTGTGTCTTAGGAAGGCTTAGCACTGCCATAAACCAAGTATTTTGAAGTGTGATTACTACCCCTTGAGGAAGGTAAGAGCTGATCCCCACAGGGTTAATTCAGTGCAAGTCACCTGCACGTGCTTGCTTCTGAAACTGTACAGTAATTACCTTAGCTTTTCTATTTCTACAGTGGTTAGTAAAGCAGCATCTTACTTATGAAAATTCTGTAATATAAATCAAGACACCTGTTAACCCAAAATACCTTTTACTGCACATTTAGTAAAAGACATTTTAAATGTCTGTTTGCAGATTTTAGTCTTCCTTTGTGAAACCTTCAGGCAAAAAAATTCCAGTGCCCACACCCTTGCTGTCAGTCATCCACATCCAATGCTGTACAATTGTGTTACTGAAATAGATGTGAAAAATTATGAACGTATATTCTGCGGAATCATCAGCAGAAATAATTGCAGTAATCTAATGTTTTTTCCTTTTCCTTACTACTGGACTACCTCTAAACGCTTGCAGCTGCCTGGCTTATCTGAAATTTCAAAGCATCCTGAGAACAGCTTTCAACCATATTTCAATGTTCAGACAATTCAAAGTTTTGGAATAGCAGCATGGGCATGAACACAGCAAATTTTAAGCCTACTTACTTTTCTGGCTGGCTTTTCCCAGTTGCCTTCACTGATCCCTTGTAAGGAGTTCAAAATGTTCCCACAGTTCGCGAACCAGAACTTGAAAAACACTGACAGAAGGAAAGGCAAAATCTTGTTCTGTGACTGAAAACTGGAAGGGCAGGAGGCGGGCCGGGGGGTGGTGGTGATGGAGGGAATAGCTCAACCGAGGTTTGGGAAAGGTTTCGAAGATCTTTGGGTTGAAGCTGGTGCAATAAAGTGCAAAGCAGTTATTTCTTGTTGTTACAAGACTTCTCGGGAGAGTCGTCGCTCCGACCCAAACCGACAGCCCGCAGCGCGAAGCCGGAGGGTCGCGGCCACCCCACGAGGAAATGACTGATCTCTCAACCTCCCCCTGGTTTCCCCTTGGGTGCTCCGCGTGTTCTACAGTTACAGCGGCGCGGGCGCTGCCCGGGAGCCCCCGCGCTGAGGGGGCGCGGACCGGCCTGGGATGCCCCGGCGCCCCTGACACCGCTCCCGGCGCCCCTAACACCACTCCCGCCACCTTTGACACCATTCCCGCCGCCTTTGACACCGCTCCCGGCGCCCCTAACACCGCTCCCGCCGCCTTTGACACCGCTCCCGCCGCCCCTAACACCGCTCCCGCCACCCGCGGGGCTCCGGCGGCTCCCGGGGCCGGCTGGGGTGAGGGGGCGAAAGGAGTGGGGACAAGACCCCCAGGCCACCCCCGCCCCGAGGTGACCAAGCTGGAGCCGCAGGCACCGAGACAGCCCGACCCGAGCGACGCTCCTCACGGTCCCTCAGCAGAGACCCGCTGAGGGGGAGAGGGATCCGCTCACGGGGGAGTGGGATCCCCTCAGGAGGGACCCCTCCACCACCGTCCCCGCACGCCGCGCTCACGCCTGGCCGCGCTCCGCTCACCTCCCGACACCACCTCCCTCCAGCCCGGCTCCTCCAGCTGCCGCTCCGCTCCAAGGTGAGGAGCCCAGGGGTGCGGGCGGGCACCGGCCTCCGCCTCCTCCCGCCCCGCGGCCGCGGGCGCGGGCGCACCTGGGACTCGTAGTCCCCCCTGCAGCCCCCGCCGGGCGCGTCCCCGCCGCGGCCTACGAGTCCCAGGGTGCCGCGGGGCCGTGCGCGCTCCCGGCGGCGCGGCCTGCGCGGGCGCTGCCCCGCCTGCTCCCCCGGTGTCATCGGCGGTGTCCTCCCCAGGCCCTCTTTGGGGCATGGAGTCGTTGGAAGAGACCTTTATGATCATCAAGTTCACCCAGCACTACTTCTGTAACCAGTAAACCACTAATCCAGAACCAGATCCGGACAGCTCTTGAACACCTCCAGGGATGGTGACTCCACCACATCCCTGGGCAGCCTATTCCAATGCCTGCCCACCCTTACAGTGACAATTTTTTTCCTAATACCTAATCTGAATCTCCCCTGTCTCAGCTTAAGGCCGTTTCCTTTGGTCCTCTCACTGCAGGCGTAGTGGAAGAGACGGGTCCCCACCTCACCACAACCTCCTTTCGGGGAGTTGTAGGTTCCCTCTGAGCCTCCTGGAGATTAAACAACCCCAGCTCTCTCAGCTGCTCCCCATAACAGATGTTCTAAACCTTTCATGAGCCTTGTTGCCCTTTGCTGGACACGCTCCAGCACCTCAATGTCCTTTTTAAAATGAGGGGCCCTGAACCAAACACAGCATTCAACGTGCAGCCTTACCAGTGCTGAGTACAGGGGGATGATTGATGATCACTGCCCCGCTCCTGCTGGCCACGCTATTATTGATACAGGCCAAGGTGCAAATGGCCTCCTTGGTCACCTGGACACACTGCTGGCTCATGTTCAGCCACTGTCAACCAGCATCCCCAAGTCCCTTTCCAGCAAACAGCTCTTGAGCCACTCCTCTCCCAGCCTGTAGTGCTGTATGGGGTTGCTGCAACCCAAGTGCAGGACCTGTCCCTTCGCTTTATTGAACCTCAGATAGATGCAGACACGCATGAAATATATACTATAAATACAATTTGTTTGTGATTTTAGTATAAAAGTACACCTGGGGAGCACGGGGTGGGCTCTGGCTATCAGTGAGCAATGTGCAGGACATGACTTGTTTGGTTTTGTGTGGGTGTGGTGCTGAGGTGCACTGTGGTGCTTGTTGCATTTTAAAGAGGGGAGTTGTTTATCCAAAATAGACTGTAACAGAAAGGCATTTTAATGGACAATTTCAGAGTGATATGTTACAAAATCCTGCATACATCAGATGTCACATGGAATGATATTGGATGCTATTGTTGTACAGAATTGGGTAAGTGGAGATCCTTTGGGAAAAACATCTTTTTTAATTCATAGTTATTTATCCACAGTCTATTTTTTTCTGAACTTGGACATCTGTAGCTTGTGTTAGAATGCAGGTGTAATTAACTTATGAAGGTGTGGCCTCACCACTGATGTGCAGAAATTCTGAAATACTTTATTGCCAGTAAAACATATATTGCAGTAACATACCATCGACAGACCTGTTTATACACCCTGCACAAAAAGGAGGGAGAGGAGAAAGCCTGAAACAAACATGGGAATAGCAGATTTCCGGCTGGAAAAATCCGTGCAGGTATAAATCATTTCGAATGCTCCAGTAATCCACACTGAGGATTATGTTACACTAATTGTGTCAATGGTTGCATTTAAACACAGGCTTGTTTTATTTTCTTGTGTGCATTTTAGCATGACGCACTTGAAGGTTCATAGTTCTTTTTGTTGCTTCTTTCCAGCATTGTCTAAAATAGTAAAAGATGTGGTTCTTCAACTGTGAGAGAAGGGCAGAGATTAATATGGTGCTGAACTCAGTAGCAATAAGATGAAAAGAGGATTTTTGGTCAAAACAAGAAAAGGGAGGGAAAGTTAATACAGAATAAATGATGTGGACAAAAAAAACACTCCTGTGGTGGATAATTGTGGAATGTTAAAGGTACACACACGCCACTGGAGCTGTGTGATGACAGAGGGCTCAGTGTGAGCTCTGAGGGCTCATCTGGCTCACAGGGAATGGAACAGCAGGAGCCACTGCTCTCCAGCAGCGTAAGGAAAGCTGTGAGGTGCTGCCAAAGGTCAGATCCAGTGCTCAGGGCTGCTTAGAGCTCCAGTGTTGGGCTGTTTAGTTCTCACCTTCCCCCAACAGCCACTGACAGCGAGTGAGGGCAGGGGAGGTGGCTGAGGGGCTGGGGAGTGCAGAGGCTTCTGATGTTCCTGATTGTGTCATTGGTGTACACATCCCATATGGAACATCCCAAATTAGTAAACTGGGTCAGGTTGTCTCCATCGACTGGGTCACTCCCCATTGTATCCTAACTACATTCATAGTTCTTCTAAGAATGAGACAACTTTCTAAGGCAGAAAAAACCCTGTATATATTTGACCATGGAGTCTTACACGGGTCCTAGGACAGGCAAACCAGTTGAATTAGTAAAGTTGCAGTGAACATCTCCATATGAAGTGAAACATGTTCAGATTTTCAGGGATTTTCCCACTGATTTCAGTGGCAGTAGGCTTGGTTCTCAAAGTGCTGCTGTTAATTAGTTACTACCCACATCCCATACAGGCACATTAGTCATGTCAAGCTTTGTTATTGTCCATAATAACACAATTATTCTAGCAGAGGCCCGAACATTAGTACACTTTCCTGTTTGCCATGCAAAATTCCTTGAAAGTGTCTGAACTCAAACAATTTTAAGATATTCCTTGAGAAGGGTGAGATTTTTAATCAGCTAAGCTGGGTGTTGTGAGCGTAAACCAGCTGAATGGCTTTGCACCTGCTGTTTCTAGCCCACTTGGAGCTCTAGGGAATCAGCAGAGGGCTGGAGTGTGTCTGCATGGTCAGTGTGCAGGGAAAGAGAGACCTGAGGGTATCAGCAATATCATCTTAGTGCAGAAGTAGCCCTGACACCTGTGACTACCCAGTACCTCCCAGAGTTCTGCCTTTGGCCCAGAGGCAATTAGGGAAACAGCCAAGCCCTCTGAAAGAGCTTCTTTGCCACTAACTTCCATAGATCTCCCCCAAGCAGCAGAGCTCAAAAGCACAATCACATCCTCTTCCTTTTTTTAAAAAAAAAGCTTACAAAACTTGCTTTCTTTTAAAAGAAATACAGATTCAAACTATGAACCCAGCATTTATCAGCATATTCCATTACAGTAAGGTATTCCTCCATTCCTGGAATAGCATTTTTACTGGGCCCCACCTTGCTGCATGCCGGCTAAAACTTTCCCCATGAGGCTCTGTGGAATTAGACACACACAGGTCTAAGTCCTTAGGCTTACTGCCAGCTCAGTCCCTTGAGCTGAACCAAAATAACGTGGGGAAGAAAAAGCAACAGGCAGAAAACAGCGGTAACAGAGGAGAACACTAGGCTGTTTGTCCACAGGTCACCTGTATGTATGCTGGCAGCCTCATACCTCATGGTCTTTTCTTCCAGCAGCAGATCCACCACCTGTAAGTGGTGGGTGCTCTGTTTGCTCCTGCAGAGGTGTACTGCAAGTGGTGGCATGGCCTCAGCCGCTTCTGATTGCTAACAGCCCTTGAAGAGCTCTTTAGGGACATGCTTTACATAGGCAAGACCTTTTGCTGACCTCATTTGGTTCTGAGGCTCCCTCACCAGCTCAGGATGAAGGCAGCTCCCCTCAACAGCTGGCTTGTTCCTATTCTTCCAGTTTTGAATCATGTTTAGTTAAACTGCACCACAGAGCTGAACTGAGGAGGGTTAATCTGGGGCCTCACACCGGCTTCCTGCTTGGATAATAACCAAACCCCATTGCCCACTGGATAAATGATGAGGTGTTGCTGTGGCAGCATTTTCACCCAATAACATTTACACTGAAGAGTTAGCAAATAAATAAAACACAGATCCATGTTTATGGCTTTTGTCTCTTTCCAAATGTTCTTCCTTTCTAGACTAAACAACTCTCTCTACTCGGAAGCTCATGGGTTCAAGGGCCTTGTTTCTGCTGCTGTACTCTGCAATCTCTCCAGTTTGTTTACATCTGTATTTAAACAAAGAGCTCAACAGCTGACAACTGTCTACTTTACAGCAGTGGCAGCCGTATTTATATTTACTGTGTTCTACCATAAACATTTCTACTGATGCAATGCAAAATGGCATTTTTAAAAACCGCTTTATGCTGTTGATTCTCCTTCTGTAGTTTTGTTGCCTAATCTGATATTTACCCAGTTTGTGTGCTGATACCTTGCTCTTTGACAATGTCTTGTCATTGAGTGCATTTGCTGTGTTATTTAATTTCTACCCATTTCTCTAAATCATCCAGTTCATGTAAAGCCTGATTTGGTCCTTCAAAAGTACTCCTCCCATTAAGATAATGTTATCATCTTTGGCTGAAGCAAGCTAAAGAGAAAAAATATTTAGG